TGAACCGAACCTCCAAACGCCCACGCAAGCGCTGGGTTTACAACCCACCCGAACCTCCATGGCAGCTCTACTTCCTCCTCCATCGGCCTTGCACTGAAGGCTTCCACCCGAGGGGCAGCAGAGGGTTTCCCGGCCGCCGCTTTTCACCACGGACTCCACCTACGCTCGGCCGACGCTCTTCCCGCCCTTAGCGCATCTCCGGCCTTGCGGTGAAATAGTTAGTCACAAGACCCATGACAGCGAAGGTCGCAGCGCACACAACCTGCTTTAGATCATTCTCCATATTTTTCATGTTGGCCAGACTTGCAGCACAAGCGAGGAGAGCAATCCATGACCCGAGCTTATATTTGAGGAGGACCCCGAGTATTCCCGCCATAATGGCAAATAGACTAAGGTAATCTGGAGGAACCTCGTCGGGGCTAGTTATGGTAGGGACGTACTTCTTTGCCGCGCTTGGCATTCGAGGATCAGACCCGATCCCCACTTTCGAACTAGCTTTTGGCGGGGCCATTGCAAGTGAATTCAGTTCTCAATTCAATTCAATTCGATTCAACTAGCGCGCCAGAGGAAACAATTCGCGCCAGAAACGGAAGGGAAGATGCACACGCAAGCATGCGCGCCGTACGCACACTCGCCACGTGTGCTGCTCCCACCTGTGGATGGAAATACAATATACACCCACAACCCAAATCGCCCTCCTTAGCCCGCACGCTCTTTCAATATTGTTTCAACTAGACCCGTTGCGGCTTCGCCCGCAAAAACAGAAGAGGAAAAAAAACACAAAAGAAAGAAAAAGCATAAGGAACTCCCCTATCATATGCCGCCGAGCCTTTTTTCCCCTTTATCTTTGAGTGTTTTGTTTGGGGAGCCATTACCTTCGCAGCATCTTTTTTGTTTTGTGATGTGCAAGAACTCTGCACTCTTCTGAGAAAATCCTGTCCATTGTCCCGTTGATGTTTTTGCAGCTAAAAATTCAGATTCAGACTTTGTTTGCTGTGTTCTCTGGATATGTTTGTGATCAACCCATCTTGCATGTTCTGCATGCCCCGTGGCTTACTTGTTGAGTTTTTACGCTATGTGCGCAAGTGCATGCGTGTGTGGGTG